CTCCAATCTCGAAGAAAGTTCCCAATTAGTGGACACTTACAACAATCAACTCTGGAGTCACTACTTGGTAGTGACTGACCTGTTCCTAAACACACTGTCACAGAAGTCGCGCCATTTTCAAACTTCCTACTCCATTCAAATCAAAAGGAGGATGGCCATAGCTATGCAAAGATTAAAGAGCCTTAAAAGTCTATGGTTAAGCACCAGCAAGGAGATAACAATTATAATTTTGAGAGCGTGCATCTTTCCTGTAGCAACATACGGATGTGAGTCATGGACTATCTCCCAGTCCTTAAGAAAGAGAATAGGGGCTTTTGAGCTGAAATGCTATATAATGATTCTCAGAATATCTTGGATGATAAAGAGGAGAAATACTGACATCTTGAAAGATCTAAACATTAAGGAGGATTGGCTAATAAGCAGCATCCTGTCTTGGAAGCTGAAAAATGTTGGTCATATCAAGCGCCATGACGGATTGGAAAAAAATAAAAGCAGAAGGCATGGTACCAGGAAGGAGGGACAGGGGGCGACCAACATGAAGATGGGCACAGGGTATAAATGACTCCTTGAGTATGAAAGTACATGAGGCAGGAGAGCTGGCGAGAGACCAAGTTTCTTTCAGGCAGACTGTGATAAGAGCGATGTTCTGCAAAGGACCTGCTACATGATGATGACTCCATTCATACACTTGTTGGACCCGACAGGCATGCATCATCATACTGAACCATCTTTCACCAATGAAACTCTATTATGTTGAATTAAGAATCAACAGCACTCGGGACACTCCCATAAGTGCTCCATCCCCATCTTTAGCAGCAAGCGAAGAGTTCCATTTTGATGGCACCAGTAACCGTCTGACTGTATATCCGTTTCATCCTTCCACTGAGTGTCGGCCAGATCCCCTTGTAACTCCTCGCAGGGCCATTCTCCTCAGACATGAAACTCTATAGATTTCACTGATACAATAATATAACTGCTCCTCTTTGGTGCATGTCAAAAGTGGGGTGGTCATCTTTAAACTGTCACTGTGTTCATCTGCACCGTGATGTCATGTGCATAAAATTGTTGACATCCTTAACAATATTGACAGGTTACAAGACAGTGGCATGCATGGTTATTGTAATTACTATAACATTTTTAAGGTTTTTTCTTCAAGGCTTACTCGTATTAATCCTTGGCTATTGAGAAAACAACAGATATAGCAGATAACACTGCTTTAATTATGTGGTTCATGCATACATATATTAAAATTAACTCATGTCACCAACAGACTCGATCCACTGTCAGCATTTTTCTATCTTTTTCTCTCTCAAAATGATCAATCTTAATTAGGCAAGATTTTGCGAACAACCACTGAAATACGCTTCTTCTTTGTGGAATTCTGGCTTTTTTCATTCACTTCTGAACTAAAGTCTTGTTTCAGAACTTGAGTTTCTCGTGCACATCCATTTTACTGATCCGGGCTTTTTTGTAAGCAGACTGTTGGTTCCTCGCCTCTCAGGCCGATGCACTCACTTAGAAGGAAACACCCCTAACTGATAAAGGCTCTTGTCTTTTATTTCGCCCCATCTTGGGGACTCCAAGATTTCACAGGGAATTCCCAGGAAAGTCCAATAGTGTAGGTGTGTTATGATGTGAAAGGAACACTAACCTCAACACCCCTGCTCCCTCCCCATTTCAATATTGAACTTTCTGGGAATCCCCTATGAAATCTCAGAGCCCATGAGATGGGGTGAAAGAAAAGAACCTTAGTAGACTGTTATGACATGCCTGTTAGGATGGGGACAGTGAGTCCCCCCCCCCCCCCCCCCCCCTCCCCAATCCGATGAGGACATAGAAATACTATACATGAACACTGAAATGTTTGTTTTTCAACAATTAAACAAGATTTCTTAACCGGCTACTGACATACTTTAAATTATCACCACACTGACATAAGCAACCTCTGTCAAGCTATACATCAACACTAACTATGATGTCACAGTTTTTCCCCCTACATTCCTCGTCAAATATTGTTAACACCTTGTTTTATGTCTTTCTTCTTCAACTGCTTTAACTGTTTTAAAAAAGCCATTAGCATGTGGTTTACAGCTAGGTTGCGGGATCTGCACCTGTTGGCCCCCACACATTCGGGTTTAGCAAATCAATACTTAGCCACCTTTCAAAGTTAATGGATAAGAGGCGCAGAGCTAGATTTATGAACAGCCAACCGCTAGCACACATTGTTGTTAAAACTTCACTGCTGCTGCTGCTTGTATTTACAAATTTTGCGAGGGGGGTGGGGGGGGGGGGGATATGACTAGTGCAGTCGCCATGAACTTTAGGTTTTCACTTTTGTTTTGTTTTACCCGGAACAGAAAAAAAAAATACATGTTTTTCCATAGTAAATTTAAATAATTCATTACACAAGCTATTGCCAGGTTTCTTCTTGGCGTTCACTAGCTGTAAACTCTGGCAGAAAGTTTTGGTTGTTCGTCCACTTCTGGACTGCAGTCCTATGCATCCGTTTGACAGATCTGACTAATTTGTATGCAGACTGTTGGTTCCTTGCCTCTCAGGCAGATGCACTCCGACTTTCAAGGAAGCTCCTAATTAGTCGACTCTTACGACATGCTTTTGGGTAGGCAGTGGGACTATTTTTATTTTCCCTATAACAGGGCCCCCGGAACCCACAAGGGGATATTGCCAGGCATGTTTTGCTATATCTCACCAGGTCATTACTACAGAGTCAAGTCAACATTTAATGAATCGCAAAAACTGAATTCTTTCCACTGAAATGCACAAATCGCATTGTCTCTCTGATCAATGGAAGATCAAGAACATCAACTGATAGCAAAACAGTCATTTGGTTTCATCCCCCATTGCAGATTCTCTGCAGAACATCACTATCATGGTCTCCCTGAAAGAATCTCGGCCTCTCGCCAGCTCTCCCACTTTTATATTCAAGGAGTCACTTACATCCTGTGCCCATCTTCATGTTAGTCTGTCCCTGCCCCTCCTTGGTACATGGCTTCTGCTATTATTTTCTATCTGCCATGGTGCTTGATATGACCAAAATATTTCGGCTTCCGAGACGAGATGCTTTGGTTTCCATGATAAGTTTATGGGGATAATAATTCCTTCCGCTTGCACATAAGAGACCTAGTGCTTCTGGCCAGTGTTGTAAAAGGTAACCAATTAAGGATTCACTTAAATTTAATGTGCTGGTCTGAAAGGTGCATATATCACAGCTTAGCTGTAAACCACAACACTGCCAGCCTCTATTTCTAAAGGGAGCGCAGCAGTTCTCATACATCCATGAATTTATGAAAAACCAACACACAAAAATTGAGCATGTTCAACCTACTGCAAGCAGCATCGGTTATAATTGTGCTCTGGTTTCTTATGAGAACCACCAGTCCCTATGAAGGCTATGGTGCAACACGTCCTCCACTTGGAGTCTGGTGTCCACCAGAATGCCAAAGGGCCAGACCTGGAATCTCTCTACTGAAAGGTTTAAGCCTAGATTACCGACCTCACTTCCCAGGTTCGATCTCATATGGCTTGTCTCTCTCACTGCTGAATGGCTAGCCGCCTGCCGAGAGTGTCATACAAAACACAAACATTGTAGGTCTGGCGACGATCCCTAGTTGTCTCCATAAAAACTGCAATCATGAACTGACTGAAGCAGCCATGAAATGAGCTGACTGAAACAGCCATGAAATGAACTGACTGAAGCAGCCATGAAATGAACTGACTGAAGCAGCCATGAAATGAACTGACCGAAGCGGCCATGAAATGAACTGACTGAAACAGCCATGAAATGAACTGACTGACGCAGCCATGAAATGGACTGACTGACGCAGCCATGAAATGAACTGACCGAAGCGGCCATGAAATGAACTGACTGACGCAGCCATGAAATGAACTGACTGACACAGCCATGAAATGAACTGACTGAAGCAGCCATGAAATGAACCGACTGGTGCAGCCATGAAATGAACTCACGACCTCCACAGTGCGAGACAAACTGCTTAACCACCCTGCCAGGAAGACACCCGCATCCCTCTGCTGCCTGTAGACAGCTTGTCTGCAGCACAGATTCAGTATTCTGTGGTGCCTGTCCACATGGGCAAAGTTCATTGTTCATTTACAGATCATTTTCACTACACATGAACATAAGTGCTGCGATCTCCCACTGAGTATGTCTCCATGTGTTTTGATGCTAACAACTTACATGCTGCTCTGGTTGATGTAACGATGGGTGGCTCTCGCGGCTCCAACTGGTACACTCAGGGTATGCAGTCTATTCAGTGAAACATTATTTTCCATGAAACTGAAAGCCTCACCGTGTGTAGTCTTTTGCATGGCATTGATGATGTCTCTTCTGTCCATAGATGGCCCATTCCTGATAGTCGCACTGCCAGCCAGGGTGTCAGCTTTCTCCTTGCCTTTCACACAACATACCCTGGGACAAAAATGAAGGTGATTTTGTGAAATGCTGTATCAGATGCAGCCATTGTTTCCATGGGCAAAGTTATGAGTCCCTTTCTTGAATTTCTTGTGCATATGACTGTGAAGTCCGTAGTGTCCAGTTGACAATCTGAATACAATGGTCTGTTGCTTTCATATAAGGAGTCTTCAGAATTGTGTTGCAGCTGGAAAGTCCACCAATCCTATACATTCCTCTTGAAACCATTTATATGGCAAAGTTTTCAGTTTTCAAGATAAGATGCTGTTTATGAGACAGGAGTTTTCCTCAATAATCCCTTTCCATATTATACTTTCTGACCCATTGCGTTTTTATAATTTGTCTGTAACTTCCAAGTTCAAAAGCTCTGATTCATTTCTCCTGTAGTGATTCCAAAACAGCACACCATGGTTTCAAACAAGATCTCATTCTACAGGAGACTCCAGCGAAGCTATGGTAATTGCCAAAGTGCCAGCATTTTTGTCAATATCTCCTCAAGAGGGAATTCTTTCACGAACAACATCACAGATGAGACTCCATGAAACTTCAGCTAGGATTTGGTGTGACTGGGTTTGGTGACATCATGAAGTACAATGTGAACTTTCAGGGATGGAATGGTGTCAAACTCTTTCTTACACACATGACATCTGTAAGCAAACACAGTGAGAAGGAAAATCAGACACTGAAAAATACAGGTTTACATGTGAAATATGACATGACAGATGACATAAAAGGTAGTGAGGTGTTGACATGCAAAATCTGATGTGGCCTGGACTACATGACAGATGAAATAAAAGGTGGTGCAGTGGATAACATGTGAAATATGATGCAGGCTACATGACAGGTGACATGAAAGGCAGTGTGATATATAACATGTCAAATCCGATGTGGGCTACGCCTTCCGGTCAAAATGGATGCTAGTCACGGCCACTGTTTTTGAGCTGTGGCAAATTTTTTGCTTCTGCCAGACGGTGGCTGTTGATCGATCACGGCTGCTCCATTAGAAGTTTGCACCAAAGAGGAACAACAAGCATAGACAAGATTCCTCTGGTCGGAGGATGTCAAAGGTTCAGTATTTCATCGTATACTATCATTGCAATATGGAGGAAGTGCACTATCACGTAAAACTGTGTTTTTGTGGATCAAGAAGTTTGAAAGTGGTCGAGTATGTGTAACACGTGAACAGGTTACTGAGTTTTGCCTCAGATTTAGACATGCAAAATGTGGTGCAAAAATGGCTTAACTCTTTGAGTCCCAGTGGGTTTAGCATCAGAGGCCCAAGGGGTAGTCAAAAGAGATGTAAAATTGGCGCATCTTGTGTTCATTGGGCCTCTAGGCGGGAACCTATGAACGTATGATGCGTTCCTTTGGACTCAAGAGTTAATGACCAAACGAAAACCTTCTATTTGGAAGGAATACGTAAGCTTGTTGACTGTTGGGCAAAGTGCATTGATGAGGAGGGAGATTATGTAGACAAATGATGAGCATAGTGAAACCCTAGCTGTATGTAAATAGATTGTAGAATGAAAAGTGTAGATCTTCTTCTTTCTTCTTCACCTTCATCGGCTATAAACTCCAGCAGGAGATTCTGGTTGTTCATCCATCATTAGACTTTTATCTTGCATACAAATAAGCCAATAGTGTCAAATGGATGTGCACAAAAAAACTCTTGTTCTGGAACAAGATAAAAGTCTAAAGATGTGTAGATAATTTTTAACTCTCCTTCATATAAATGAACAAATGTGTGAAAGTAACAAATAATTAAGTACCAATTGCAAATTAACAAACTTCTCTTTCTTCTTCTTCTTTCTTTTTCATCTTCGTCGGCTATAAAATCCAGCGGGAGATTCTGGTTGTCCGTCCATCTCAATACTTTTATTTTGTTCTAGAACAAGTTTTTTGTGCATAACCATTTTACACTTTTGGCTTATTTGTGTGCAGATTTACTTCCCTGCCTCTCAGGTAGATGGACTGCAACTCTGAAGGAAATAGCCCTAATTAGTTTACATTTATATCACGCTTGTGAGAGGGAAGTGAGCCTATTCTTATTTTGTCCTCTCAGTGACACCAGGTTGTAACCCAGTTTCGTTTTCCGTATTTGTCTTGTGCTTCTTGCATGGCCTGAGTGATAGATTTGTTAACCTTTTTGCATTCTTACTATATGGCCGAATCATTTCATTCTTTGCCTGCCAATATAATCCAGACATCGTCTTATTCCAACTTTCTCTCTAATGCTGGTATTTGTAACCCTGTCTCGTCTGGTGTTGTTAGTGACCTTGCGGAGATAGTGCACTTCACTTGTGGTTATTTCTGTTGTAGTGCCTTATTCATTGTCCATGTTTGGCACCGATTACATAAAGTAGGCAAAGATGCTATTAATCATTTGCTGTTTTGCTGGAAGGGAGACATTTGGGTGTCTAAGCAGTTAGGCTAACTGGCAGGTGACAGCATTTGCCTTCTGTACTCTGGCTTCTATCTCTTTACTGAATCTGCCATAGTCCATGAAAAAGCTTCCTAGATATTTGATTTCCTGTACTTGTGAGTCTACTTTTTCCCCCACATGGGGAAAATAATGTCATTAAATGCTATTTGTAGAAGTAACAAACCACAGCACATCGTAATGACTAATATTTAACTCAATAAACTCTGCTAAAACCGGTCCTAAGCCTGGCTGAAAAAGAAAGATGGTCTGGCTAATTCTGAGTGCTTCGTGTCTCTAGAAGTATTGGGCAACCATGAATCAGCCAGACAGCAGGCATAAAGGCTACAAGGAGGCAGTCGCTCTCTCCATGAAAAGGCACAACAACAGGCCAATCACCTGTTTACCTAAAATTATGATTACAGCGCAGACTGCTTAAGGTGATCTCAGATGTGGCGGACTTCTGTTGTGAAGAACAACTTGTTTATCCAGAGGGATATTTCCTGCTTGCTCTTAACTGAATAAGAGAAATGTCTGATAAGAAGAACCAATTCTTGGGTCCCCAGTGAGTTCTTATCAGGTCTGCACTACATAAGAAAAAGGAAACTGCTGATAGGGAAGTCTGGCAATCTCTCTGGCAAACCTGGGTACACTCCAGGGTAGAAAATGATCAACTAAGTAAGTAAGTGTAACTATGTCCTCCTCATGTTATTGTTGATACATGAAGCTTTCACCAAGCGATCTCCACTGTTGCCGGTCTGCTGTTTTTCTGCCCATGGTATCTAGTGTCAAAGTCCTTCATTTCCCCATTCTACTGTCCTTCATCAGGTTTCCTTAGGTCTTCCATGTCTTATTTTTCCATTGGCCGTCCATCAGATAACGAGCCTTGCCAAAGTGCCACGAGGCATTCTGCAAACGCGTCCAAGTAATTGTCATCGTCTTCTGTTGATAACGTTTGCCAAGGATAAACATGTTGTTTTCAGCCTCAGTTTTCTAACTGTGATCTCGTCTGGTCAAAATATTTGCAGGATTTCCCTTAGACATTTATTTGGTAATGATTAATAGATGCAAAAAACATAAATGCTATTATACGATTACCTTAAATTCTGCTTCAACAATTTATCAGCGTCTTGAACATCTGGACTCCACTGACCAGTCTCTTCCACGTTCTTAATGACAGCTGTTATTTTCAAAGATCAAATACTTTTCATAGAAAAACATCACAAACAAATTACCTATCCAGAAATATGGGAAACAGCACAAACGAATTAACTATATAAATATGGGGAAACATCACAAACAAATTAACTACCTAGAAATACGGGGAAACATCACAAATTAATTAACCAACCAGAAATAAGGGGGAGGGGGGGGGATCATAGAAATTACCTATATAAATATGGGGAAACATCACAATCTATCTAGAGAAATAAGGGGAAAACAAAACAAAAATTAACTATATAAATATGGGGAAAGACCACAAACAAAATAACTATTCAGAAATATGGGAAAACATCACAAACAAATCAACTAACTAGAAACATAATATAACATCACTAACAACCTAACTATCCAGAAATATGGGGAAACATCACAAGCAAATTAACTTTTTAGAAACATGGGGAACATCACAAACTAATGAACTGTGTAGAAATATGGGAAAACATCACAAACAAGTGAACTTTATAAATATGGGGAAACACAAACAAATTAACCATCCAAAAATGTGGGAAAACATCATAAACAACTATCTTATGACCATGAAATACCTAACCCTGTGGAAGAAACATGACTAAACTTAGGCCAGTCTGTTTATGCTGTACTGAATAATGACCTGAATATATCCTTATATGGCTCTCTCCTCTGATGCGAACCTTGAGTACTGGTCTTGCACACTAAGGATGTGTTGGGGGTAACAGAAATTATGATCAGGACAAAACACTGAATTTGCCAATGCATGTTTTTTGATTCCATGAACATGCTTAAGAAGATTGAAATAGATTGGGTTAGAAGGCAATGGCTGAAATAGGAGGAAATCTCATCTGTCAGAAATCAGCTCAATTTGTGTGCCAGGTCACTCTGTGGTATGCTGGAATAAATAAGCAGACTGGCTTGCTGGAAGGGCCATGGTAGGCTCAGGAAAATCAATGGACCAGTGACGCGGGCGAAATGCTCGCTTGATGCACCGCACACTTGCCAAGTATCCAGGTATACTTAATAGTGTTACAGATCAAAGTCACCACTCCCGCCCAAAAGCAATAAAGGACGCTGGATACATGTTGAACGTCAAAATATAATTAATGTATTTCAAAACCAAGACAATGAATCCACATGAATTTCTATACTGCCACAGTCATTCCTACTGGCAAGGCAACACACACTCCCGACGCTCTGGGCTACTTCTATTGCCACCCTGTTCCTTGGTTAACAACGAGCAAACATTACCTGCTCGTGCAAAACCACTGCTCGTGAGTAAGTGTCTGTCTCTATGACACCCATCCCTTGGGTACACTGTCACTAGAAAGATCATACAGGCCGATGCACAATACCTTGTGAAGATTATCCAGACCTTCCGTCTCCGGCCTGACACGTACTTGAGATCTCCCATCTCACCACAAGAGCTTCTGTCACGCTGGCCCGGCCTCTGCGGCATCTCTCGCCGATAGCCTGTATGCCTAACGCCAGCGTAACATGCGGTGTGCAGGACTAGTCTGGCAACACCCAGACTAGAACCTACATCACCGCATCCTTCCTCTCCCGGGACTTGGAGCCAACCATTTTTCTCTCTCTTCACATTGCGTTCAATGTGTCCTGCACCGCACCAAGTGTTTACGTTCAATAATGAACTTTCCTTTCATATACCCATATATTGCACACAACAACCAGGCCGATGTTCTCAGTGCTCTAAGGGAGGCAGGGTGAGTAGATGGTGAGTCAGTAACCTTGACAAGACTACAAGAACTTCATGTCAAAAGTGATGTTGCCAGATGTGAACAATACACAGGCAGCCAAAAAAGAATAGTAAGCCAACAAAGAAGCGGTGTTAGTTGCCACATGTTGAGAGGGATACTGTTAGCCCTTAAAAAAGGTGGTTGGCACAACTACTAATAGACTGCAATTTCTGCATCTTTCAGCACAACACATCCAATTTAAAGGAAACTCCTAATTAGTTGTCTTTCACAACATGTTTGTTAGGGGGCACTGGCTCTAATACCTCCCCCCCCCCCCCCAACATCCAAAATGGGACACCCACAATTTAATTATTCATCATTCACATCATCTTGGGGGTAGTGGCTGTGTTATCCCCTCCCCCACCCATCCAAAATTGGATACCCAAAACCAACACAGGGTAAAGGATACACCAGCCAACCAACATAAAAAACCAGAACTTTTAGTGTATACTTACAATGAGAATCCACAAAATACTGGGTTGTGAAAGAGTTCCAATGCTTCTTTGTCTTCAGAAATGGACTGTTGAAATCTTGGCTGATTACATGCATATGCAGATGACTAAATAAAAAAAAAATGTATGTAGTGGTAATGAATATACAGGTATCAAAATCACTGCAGTCAAAACTGTGAACAATCACAAAGATTATAAAACCCTCTGTGTGGGTGCTGGGGTCCCTACTTTAGGGTGGGGCTAGACCAAATGCCTCCCAATCACGCATGTCATAAAAGTCAACTAATTAGGAAACTTTCCTTTAAAACTAAAGCACCTGCCTGAGAGGTAAGGAACCAACAGTGAGACGCAAGGAACAAACAGTCTGTTGACAAACCAGATGTGTAAAACAGATTTGCATGCAAAATTCAAGTTCTGGACCAAGATCCAGAAGTGCACTAATAACCAGAACTTTCTGCCAAAGTTTACAGTCAGTCAAGGCACACACACACAAAAAGAAGGGATTTGCTTAAATCAGAATGTTAGGTGGAAATGCGCAGATATTGCAACCTAGCAATTTGTTATAATTAATCTTGGCCTCCAGGCCAAAATTAACCTTTCAATGTTAAAAGGAAATGTCCTGGAAAGTAAAGGCAGTTGACAAGATGCTGACTATGTCACCCATTGATCGAGTGCCCACTAGTCTAAAAAATGTGGATCAAGCACCATATGTCCCAGGCACCAGTGGCATGGTAAGGGCCCTTACTCTTACCCAGAGAATGAACAGCTAAGTAAAGAAAACAGAACAGCTTAGTAAAACAGAAAAATACAATTCAGTAAATACAATCTGCAGTGGTAACTCTGTATACAGGAAGCCCCTGTGGTGTAGCAGCTAGATGCTTGCCTACAGATCGCAAAGACATCAGTTCGGTTCCAGAGCCTAAATTTTTTCCAAAAAAGTGATTGGCTCCCAGGTCGATCCAGCCTTGAGTAGGTACCAGGAACAGTCCTAGAAAGTAAAGACAGCCGGCGTGATGCTGACCAAATCACCCACCTGGTGCCGACTGGGCATACAGGTCTAGCCCTATATGCCCAATACGCCTGAAGGCGTGGACAAGAGTCCTTTTGCTTTACCTCAGTATACGTCTGCTCTCTAATAAGTCCAATTTGGTATACGTGATGTTCAGATGCGAACAATTTTGCTTGGTACATGACCTCTGTTTGGAATACAACTCATGTGTTAGATCTTGCATGAATCAAAATGAGTCGTCCACGCATGAGTCAGTCGAGGGAAACTGGGAAGAGTAGCACTGGGGAGCTGCAGGAACTTGACAAGAGAAGCACAGAACTGAGATGGGTGCACTCTGTTCAGGCTCAAAGGAGGTAGAGACGGAAGAAACCCCTACTTCATCATTAACGAAGATGTTTACCCTCCAAGATCCAACAAAGCCCAAATAATCTAAAATAGCATTGTTTGGAATGATCAGACAATGTCACAGTTTCTAAACATCCTAAGAAGGCAGAAGTAAACTTCTTAGCAGAGATCTTGGGTAAAAGTCAAAGCTGGTGAGCCTCAACAAGGTCCAAGTAGGGTAAAGAGGAAAGAAAAAACAAGACAACACCACAATTTCGAATTTCAAATTTCCAGAAATTGTACTGGAAGGGGAACTCTCCTTCCAAACAATAACATCTTCTCCTCCTCTCTTATCAGCACCCCACTAATAGGCACTCATAAAGTGAGGTAAAATTTTCATTTATTTCATTTAATTACATCTGTATTTATGTATTATAGTATCAACTCTTTGAGTCCTGGGTTGTTTAGCATAGGAGAGAGCTATCCTGGGGCGAGACGGTTAAGAAATGAAGTAGACATTATCAGGTCAACCTTATTCAATTGCCTCTTGCAACATGCATGGTTGGACAGGGTTATATTCTTTGCTTCTCTTATAGGCTCCGATAACAAACAAAGCATCTTTAAATTTTAAAGAACAGACGGAAAACACAAACAAAGCAAGAACTAGCAGTACAGCAGTTTGACTCACCTCATGCTGGGCACGGCGTGATATCCAAACCGAAACTGCAGCTCTTTATTTGCTCTAAGAATATGTGAGGAACATATTATTCATATATGAGTACCAAAATTATAAACAGTATATCTTCTTCTGCATTCATCCGAAGACGTAAATGCGTTGTGCCTGTTTACAGCATGGCTGCTACATTTGCCTTTCGGCTGACACATCCGACTTCTGCAGGCATTTGTTGAATCCACAAAATACTGGGTTGTGAAAGAGTTGTTGACCGAGTTAACCTTCCCTGATCGACAGTATATAGTATGCTATATTACATACATTAGATTATTCCCTTCTGTACAAGTGTCAAATATAGATAGTATATAACATAATGTATTTTATTAAATATCAGTGTTTTATAACTTTATATTATTTTAAGGGGGATGAATGAAATCTGCACTAAACTCATGGGTTAACAAGGTTTTTTAATCTACACAGATTCTAAGATGAAACACTGTCCACCCATAGGTACCCATAAATAAACAGATGAGGCACCTCTGAGGCCACAGAAATTTACACATAATAAACAAACAAACACATACTGACTGGTACTCACAGAAAGAAGCAAAAAGATAGAAAGAGAGACACTAGGCAACATAACAATTAAAAGCTTTTGTGTCTATGCTGGGAATTGAACCTATCACCTTCAAATGGTGACAGAACTGAGTGTACTAAGACACATGACCAATTAGGCACACTTCCCCCCCCCCCTCCCCCAAGTGTCATCATTAGCCATGTGTGTCATACAGCTTGAATCCAAAACTATGGTATACCAACATAATTCATCTATAACCACTGAAATGGCACTATAAATTTAAAAAATTTTGTATTAACAAAGCATAGGTCGAATTAAAGACGCAATTATAAACAAACAAGGCCATGATGCTGTGTCTAAAATACAATAAACAATTAAAGAAGAGATCTGATTGGTCAGTTCCACTGTGTTGCACGTAATAATAGAAATAAACAGAGGGAGAAACATTGAGGCTTTAAAAATAGCATATATAATAAACAAACAAGCAAACACATACTGATCGCTTTCATAAAAAGTAGAAAGATAAAAGGACACACTAGATAACATGAAAACTTAAGCTGCTGGGAAGTGAACCTGCCTTGTTTGTTTATTATATCTATCCATTTCTACGTGTCAGGGACCTTATATCTGCCGAAGAGGCATATGACTCAAGTTGTAGGCCCGTGACAGATAAATGTAACCTACACACACTAAACCCAAACACCTACAAAACAATCTTTAATGTACAGAACGATATAGCAAATGGTAGTTCGCCTGAGGAGTCATGGGTACTCCTATTCGAAACAAAGGCCGTGAGGGCTTCACAAATCACCTCTCACTCCTATCACGTTCCCATGGATAGTAACCGGGTAAGAACCCATGCCGCTCCCGTACAGCTCTTTCCTCTGTAACTGAACTCCACACTAGGATCACAAAGCATCTGCTCAGTGTGGGCAAAGTGAGTGAGGACAGATAAAATCACAACCAATACAAACCATTTGTTGATACAAGACTCACTTTAATACCTAGCTACACACACAAAACCTATCTCTGTCGGATGCGGTATATATAACACAAGAGTACTGCTAGTGTCCAACAACACATCGTAACAAAGACTATCGGTCACTGTAGTCTAAACATAACACATTGTAAACATTAGAATCTAACGGTCAAATTATAACAATGTCTCTATGGTCGCATGTCCTGGAAAAAACTCTCCTGACTTCTAGCTGCCTGCTGGTTTTATTGCAATCATCAGTTCAGCTGTGTGTTCTTGCGGTAGTCGTGACTTCACAAGCGAATCACTCAGTCGGCCATGAGTTCCCACTGTCCTCTGTCCGTCGCAGTGAACTCCAGTTCATGTCTAGGTCAACTAGGTGCAGACATGAACTATTCACTACTATCATACTAGCTGTCCCATATCCACCATGACCTCTGGCATCCACCCCTCCTCTGTAATGATACTTCCTGACTTAAAGACACATGCACTAATTGTCATCTGTAGTCAAGAATAAAATCATCAGGTATCAAATCACCATTTACAGTCAACAATGAGCTAACTGGGTATGAGATGTCATCAAACATGTCACAGTCACATGAAAATAGAGTATACACATTCCAAAGGATAGATACAAACATCAGGACAACACTTCCCTTGTGGTTGAAAATGATGTCAGTACTGATACAAATACGCCACCATTTCCAACACCTTCTAATCATACAAGTAATAACTGAAACAAATTATATGGCTAGACGATCACCTTGTCCTGGACCCACTGAATGTAACTCCACTCTCAGGCAACTAACTAGGGACTTTTCCTCCGAAGTCAGAGTGCATCTGCCTGAGAGGTGAGGAATAAACAGTCTGCATATAAATAAAATCTCTAAAATGGATATGCATGCAGAATTCAATTTCTGAAACCAGACTAAAGTCTGGAAGTGCATGAACAACCAAAACTTGCTACCGGAGTTAACCACCTGTGAATGCTAAAAATAAAAACTTCTAAGCCAGAGGCAGAAACATTTCAGCCACCCGCTCAAATTCAATTCAAAATGGTCAACTGTAATATTAGAAGCGGACAATAACACAACCCTCTGAAAAAAAGCATGACTAGTACTAAATATTACCTTTCAGCTATTTCTTCTCCCTTCTTCTGCATATGCCGTAATAAGTCAAGATCAGTCTTTGTCACGTGTTTTAAGCTTGGTATCTTTCGTCGTGGCATTACAAGAAAATGGTACTTTGCCTGTTGAAGATAAAAACCTGCAGTATCAGTTACAGAAAAAAAATCCTCTAACCATCAGCAGTAGTGAATAAGCCACAGTAGATTTTTTTTTAATGATGTTGAAAATAAACAAAGAAAAGAATACTGAAACAGGCTGACTGATTTCATGACCAGCTCGAGGTTAGCATATACTTCTATGTATAAGACTCTCCCGTGTGTACGATGACGCCTATTTTTAAACCCAAAATTAAGAACAAATATTTTAAACATTCCCTGCATAAAGAAAGATTGTCTTACATAAAGAAAAATACAGTAATTAGGCACCGCATTGGCTATCATGTCTGCCTGCTGGTGTAGTGATGATGGGTTTGATTCTCCATTTACTGAAGTGAATTCTTACTAACAAATGAATTAACCTTCTTCTCTTCTTAACATTCACTGGCTGTAAACTCCAGCAGAAAATTCTGGCAGTCTGTCCACTTCTGGACTTTGGTCTTCCTCCAGAACTTAAGATTTCATTGAAAACATCCCATACATCCCCATACATCTTACCAGGCTCGTTGGCAAAATTACCACAAATTTGTACAGTGTTTAATTAAAAATAGCAAACTGACAGCCATTTGTTAATAAAGCCCATATTGCATCATACGTATTTAACAAATGCACATACAGTTAGGCCTCACTGCCCCGATTACAATAATATAAAGTTGCTAAGGGATTTATTAAAAAATAATATAGTTATTGCCATAAAATGTAAACATTTAGTCATTTCATCCCTATATTTTATCGGGAAGCAACTCGGAATCCATCTTTTGTCGGATTACACTATAATTTGTCTATGGTAGTATCCGCTACTAAAATGTTAATATATCTGCTTAGAGTTGACTTACTGATTGCGTCATAAGTCAGTCAGCAGCATGTCCTTTACAGAACCTTGCTCCCATGACAAACCTCCAGAAAACTTCTCGATCACAAGCAAGATATCCCGCATCTGATACAACCATCTGGAGATTATCAACCACATCCTGTGCCCACATTCTTTGGTCTTGCTTTTCCTCTCTTTCCAGGCATATACCCCTCCATTACTGTTCTTGGCTATCCTCTGAATAACGGTCATAAATTATCGAGGCCGAAAATTTACCCTAACAGGGCCTCAGTTACATGTCAATTGCGAACTTCCAGGGACTATACCACCACCGGCGAATTGCGGACTTCCGGGGACTATGCTGCCACCACCGAAAGTATCCCCCACCTTGTGTGGATTAGGGCTAAACTAGATGGCTGGGACTCCCGAGCAAATAAAATGAAGGAAGTTGCAGGAGATGCGGTAGCTGCTGTCAGAAGTTCGCAATTGACACATGACTGACGCCCTGTTAGGGTACATTTTTGGCCTTGATAATTTGGGACCATTATTCAGAGGATAGCCCTGTTCTTTTTATACTTTCGTATCAGTTCTAGAAGTATTGATGCATTTGTTCTTTTCTTTACCCCTGACATTCTTGGAATCCGACTATAACATTTGTATTCAAAGGCATTGATGCCCTGTTAAGCTTGTTTAGTATTAGTGTTGCTTCATAAGTAAAAAAAAATATACACACTCACATATATATATATATAACCCGGCTCTCCTCCGAACTTCTACCCCTGCATTATGGCGGCAACAAATATCCGTACGGACTGTTGAAATCAGTTCTAATAAAAATATGCGAACTTCCGGCGACGAATGAATCGCGGCAAAACTAGGATTACCTGACAATTTCAAGAAACGCAACACTGCAGACAATAATAGCAGACGATAATAGCGACCGTTGACACTTTCGAGCGTTTCTGCAGATGATACTAGTGACCATGGACAATTTCGAGACACGCAACATTACTGACGATAAAAGCCACATGGCAGGGAGTCCATGTGTGCCGACGCAGATTAGCGTTGTTGTCCTCAAACTTGTCGGCATGCGCAAAACGCGGTTACATTCACCGCCGACAGTATCCCCGGCACGGTGCGGATGGGACGCTAAACTAGGTGCCTGGGACTCACGAGCAAATTAACTAGAGGAAGTTGCAGGAGATGCGGTAGCTGCTGCTCGTGAGTCCCAGCCATCTAGTTTAGCCCATATCCGCGCGTAGCGGTGCGGGGGATACGGTCCGCGGTGAGGCATAGTCACAGAAACAGTTCCGCAAGTAACATATCGCTGAGACCCTGTTAAAGCATTTGTTTCGTTATACGGAGCCAGCATATTTTTAATAGAACTGAGCCCCGCACGGATATTTGTTGCTGCCATAATGCGGGGGAAGAAGTTCGGAGGAGAGCCATATACCCTGTATGGCTATCTACCGAATAACGGTCCCAAATTATCGAGGCAGAAAATCTACCCTCACATGGCCTCAGTCATGTTTCACTTGCGCACTTCGGGGGATTTTAACGCCACAACCGAATTTCGAACTTTCTGCAACTTCCGCCACCGCTGAGAGTGTCCCCCATGCCGCTAACGCAAATAATAAATAAGCAAAAAAAAAATGAAGGAAGCTGCAGGAGATGCGGTTGCTGCTGCTCGCAGGAGATGCGGTTGCTGCTGCTCGTGAGTCCTAGCCATCTAGTTTAGCCCCAGTCCACGCCTCTCGACACTCTCGGCGGTGGCGGAGGTTGCCGAAAGCTCGAAATTCGGCGCCGCCGGAAGCGCGCATTTCAAGACGACGGAACTGCGCAATTGACACGTGACTGAGGCCCTGTTAGTGTTAGGGTATATTTTCTGCCTTGATAATTTGGGACCGTTATAGTTATTCTCGGAAGATAGCTCCCTATATATCTATATATATAAAAATCAATGTTTGTGTGTTTGTTTGCTCCCTATAGACTCGAAAACTACTGAACCGATTAAGCTGAAATTTTCAGGATATGTTTGTTTTGATACTGGATTTTGAACCATCGTGGTTTGAAATTTAACCTGTCACTGGTAGAGATAGGTTACCACAATTTATGCCATAATATTTGCAACTAATATTTATAACTTTAGTGATTTCTAATTATAGCAACGTTAGTAATTGCGCATGCGCCGTGCAGCTAACACCTCCTCTAAAACATAGAGTAGGTCGTGGTACAGCAAACAAGACTATATCTATATCTGTGCAGGCAGTGAATGCCACAATAACTATATTAGACACGATTTCTATGTTTTTTTTTTCTTCAAACATCCTTCGATGAGTTGAAAGGTAGCCGATGGATTTGTAGGGAAAAAGAGGGGGGGCATCAGGGACTATATCTCGATATATATTTTGTTGTGGCGTTTCATTAATATATTTAGAATATCTGTCTATAAGAAAACAATTGCCTGCTGTTTTGAGTTGTGTTATAATCGGGATACTGCAGACACTTAAAATAGTTAAGTTCTCTTTTCGTTTATCCGATTAAGTGGCTGCTTGGTCGAATGGTTAGAACACTGGGTTCCTGTGCGGGAGACCAGGGTTTGAATCCGCAGTAGTTAATTTTTTTTTTTTACCCCGGACTAAAATAATATCCTCATCTGCTCTGTCGTGGTGACAGCACTAGCCATGTTGCCTTAATACTTGAAAAAAAAAAAAAAGACAAGTAAATGGGTAAACCATTTGATAATTAAATTTGACCATTTCGCATACTTATGATTGCATTTTTAAACTTTCCGATTGCATGGTTACGCTGAAATTTCATAGATTTCCATTTTTTTTGTTCATTTAGATTTAGTTATTTTATCTGCGTTGGAATTTGAAGCTGTGCTGTTTACCATGGCGTTCATTTCCTAATTATGGTGGTTTTTTTCCTGTGTTCACTTGCTTTTCAGGTGTGTTTTTTTTTCCTCCCAAATGAGGGAAAGAGTTGTCGGTGAATTTGGGGGGGGGGGGGGGGGGGGGGGGCAAACTATTAACTGAGAGAGCTTTAAGTCACAGTAACTTCTTTAACCACTTAAAGTAGCAGCAGCAGTAATAGTTGTGGTTGGGCTGTTACACCATAGTGCTCTCATGTGAAGACCGCCAGTAAGGTTATGGCGTTCTTCTGTCGGGAAATGAAATTATACATCCTAACCTGGCCAGTCTGTGGCGACAGCACTAGCCATGCGGAACCAAATCTTCTGGCTCACGACTCTCTGTCTACTCCGATGGTAACACAGATAGCAGTGACATTATTTTAGCTACTGTGGTGGTGGTCGTGGTAGTAGTTGTACTGGTACTTGAAGGATGATGTGGTAAATATTACACTAGCCCCATTCACTACCTATTACAATTCCTGCTCCCCATTTTAGTCCAGATGGACAGGGATGTCAATGTCAGTTACAGCAACAACAAAAATATCGCCAGGTAGTGATTTTCGAATCCTTCGAAGAGGGAGAGAGCAGTAGTCAGTGGAAGAGGGGAGGGGAGGGGGTAATGACTTAAATTTAAGAGAACTTAGAGAGCTTTACACGTGATTTTCAAGTTCTCATTACCTAATATGTTTATATTTTACTAACGCTACCTCCGCTATTCTATTTTTTACGACTTACTTTGTTATTCACAAGTACAGTTGTAGCTTTACTTCCGTCCCCTATAAAAATACAAACAGCTTTAGCATGTGATAACCAAATAACCATTTTTGTTACTGTGCTAATAACACCATTTAAACGACCACTAATATAAAGACACAATTATAAGGTGCGTGTTCTAAAGTTGGAAAACCAGACTATCTCTTTATCTGTGCAGAGAATGATTGCGACATTAACTATATTAGACACGTGCGATTTCCATTGTCTTTCTTTTCCAAAAACCTTTGATGAGGAAGAGAGTAGTAGGTGGATTTAGTTGTGGTGGTGGTGGGAGGGGGGGAGGGGGCGCGGGGATCAAAGACTATCTCTATATCTGAGCAGACAATGATTGTATTAGACACGTGCGATTTCTATTTTCTTTCATTTCCATTTAGCCAAACTATGCCACAGCAACGTGTGGCCAGGTACAGCTAGTATATATATATATATATATATATATATATATATATATATATATATAATATATATATATATATATATATATATATATATATATATATATAACTTCACTGCCGTTCAATACCTTTGGATATTTGTCTTTGATGACTACCAATTTATCATCCGAATCAACAACAGCCGTAACATCATTCATAGCAGCCAAGAGCCCTTGGCTCCAGTGTCCCGACTTTGTAGCCATCAAAACATCCCAGCAAGATCGACTCCCAGTGTTTACGTTCGCTAGCAGAAATCTAAACATACCTCTCGACACTGCCTGATTTTTGTGCATGTCCGTTGCAATAAGACTTTTCAAAAGGATTTTCACAGAGTGATCAGAGATTTGCTATGGGAGGTCCTTGAAGACAATGGCATATATGAAAAAGTGATAGAATGTGTCAGAAATATTTATAAAGAAAGTGAAAGCGCCGTCAGAACAAAAGCTGGCATCACAGACTGATTTCCAGTAACATCAGGAGTAAGGCAAGGTTGTGTTCTTCTATCTATACTTTTTAAAAGATTCATGGACAATATTAATAAAATAGTCATTACACCACCAGATGTCAATAAACAGAAGCACTTCAATGAGCTGCTCTTTGCCAACGATCAGTGCATATTCCACAGTGAAAGTAAACAGCTGCAGGACCACAAAAACTAACCGCGGCGTGATGCTGACTACTTCATCCACCAAAGAGCCGAGTGGTCTACAAAATATAGGTCTAGCCCATATGCACAATAAACCTAAAGACGTGGAAAAGGGCTCCTAACCCTTTTCCCCCTCCCACCGACTGACTGAGTATTTTAAAAACCCAACAAGGACGTCACACTGAGGGATAAACACCCGGTGACACATAGTGCCAGCACTCAGATGAGGATCACCCGTGGAGAGGTCACAGAAACCCCGTTCAACCGTTGGGTTAATTTAGGGCCGGCAACAACCAGGGTCTGGCTTAAAAATTTACGAAAAATTGCATCCCACAAGGGGACAGGGAGTAGTACAGGCTTTTTTTAAAAACAACTTTATATACCACTATCACGTGGCAAATAAAAATGTTGACTTTTTTGCTAATAGATAGTATAGAGACAATTGTGAAAATTGCTGTCAACGTATTCTAACATCTAATATGCCACATCATATTTATCAAGATTGCCATAAAAAGAGGAACAAAACCTAGCACTATGGTGGACTTACAGATGTCGGATGCAACTTTTTTATTGTTTTAAGGCCCCACCCTGGTTGACTGACTGACTTTCTACCCCACTAGGACATCACACATGCGATAAACACCCGATGACACAAAGTGCCACCATGCGGATGAGGATCGCCGTGGAGAGGTCCCAGAAACCGCGTTCAGACAATTGGACATATTTATGGCTTGCCTATATTGCGACCCCTGGCAAAAGCCAGGGTGAGGCTTCAAATAACAAAAAAAATTGTCCTAAAAAGGACGAAACATGTATATATAACGGCAGACAACCCACCCTGGTTGTTGCCGAGAGCCCTAATATAACCCAGGCTATGGGTTGAAGGGGGTTTCTGGGGCCTCTCCCCGGGTGATCCATATCTGCATGGTGGCACTTTGTGTCACCGGGTGTTTATCGCTTGTTGGATGTCCTGGTAGGGTTTAATCTCACTCACTCACACAAGAAGGTAAACAAAAATTACAAGCATAATAGAACTGAAGCTAATCTAACAAAATATAAAGCAGTAAGAAATAACAGAATTAGGAAAGCAACGGAAAACTGTTCTGTCAATCATTAAAACCACAGAAAAGCAAATACTGTTCAGCCAAACATAAAGCAGATATGTTGGCCAAATAATAATAAAAAAAAAAAAAAATAGTGCTCCTGATACTTTAAATAAAAAACTTATAAAATTAAAGATGAGAGTTTGTAGTTTTAAGTTTGCGTACAGTTTACCAGAACATTTTTTAGGCGAATGAGGAAAGGCAAGAAGAACGTTTAATCAGAATGCTACTGGCACCATTAGTATTGGAACTCTTCGCTGGCTGCTGAAGATGGGGACGGAGCGCTTATGGGAATGCCTTGAGTACTGTGATGTTGGTTCTTGAATCAAATCAAAATCAAATCAAATAAAAAAAATCAAATCATTTTAGGTGAATGTTTTGACAACCAATCTTATATTTGTTCCGCTAAAAGTTGCCATAATTTTACCATTAAACAAACATGGCGCTGCCGTACAATTGCTTCAGGCATCTTGTCAGGTCCCAGAGGTTAGGACATTGTTTTAAAGATCGCTGTTTCTCATCTGTGCCAAGCAGAAATAAAATAACAGATGTTATACAGTTCTGTTAAAATTATTAACACGATTTTAAATACATCAGTGACGAACAACTCACTGACACTACTTTGAACTCATCATCAGAAAAGCGAACTATTTCGTCAGCTACAAAGAGGGAGACATAACTAACTGGCACTTCTTGCAACGGCAACCTTGAGGGACGTAATTAATTCATGTTTACAGTAACAGTATTATGGCGTCCAAACAAATACCCTAACAGGGCCTCAGTCGTATGCAAAATGCAGAGTTCCTGCCGAGGTACAAATAGCGGCAAAACTAGGATTGGCTCCGAATAACGGGCCAATACTATCGAGGGCAAACAAATGCTCTTACTCTTAACAGTCTCAGCGATATGTTAATTGCGGACATGTTTCTGCGACTTTGCCGCACCACTGATAGTATCCCCCGCTACGCACAGCTCGGATTGCGAGCTAAACTAGATGGCTGGGACTCACGAGCAGCAGCTACCGCATCTCCTGCAACTTCCTCCAATTTATTTGCTCGTGAGTCCCAGGAATCTAGTTTAGATCCCCATCCGTGCGGCGCGGGGGATACTGTCGGTGGTGAGTTTAACTGGGTTTTGCCCATTCTGAAAAGTGAGGACAACAACGCTAATCTGCGTTGGAGCGCGTGGCCTCCCCGCCATGTAGCTATTAAAGTCTGTAATGTTGCGTGCCTCGAAATTGTCAATGGTCGCTATTATCGTCTGCAGAAATGCTCGAAATTGTCAACGGTCGCTATTATCGTCTGCTAGTATCGTCTGCAGTGTTGTGTCTTTTTTAAATTGTCAAGTAATCCTAGTTTTACCACGATGTGTTCCCTGGAGGAAGTCCACATTTTACACACGACTGAGGTCCTGTTAGGGTATTTGTTTAGCCGCCATAATATGCGAGGGAAGATCGAAGGAGAGCCTATTGTTTTATGTACGTCCACATAATAATGTTCTTTCATATTTATTATTGTTGTTAGGGTTAGCCCTAACTCTTACTATAACCCTAATCTCAAACAATATTGAATATGAAAGAATATTATTATGTGGACTTACACAAACAATGGATTACATCCCCTGGGGTCAGCACTTACAGTGATATTGACTTATAAATAGATGTCCCCTAAGGTCGCCCTTGCCTTTCTTTTGTGTGTGTGTCTATCCTTCAAAAAAACGGTCCTAAATTATTGGGTCCAGAAATATACCCTAACAGGGCCTGTCATATATGTAAATTGCGGACCTCTTTCCTGGGACTACACCACATACCGTGAAAAAGCGTCCAACAAGTTAAAAGTCACTGCCGAGAGTTTCCCCTGCGCCGCTATGCTAGATGGCTTGGACTCACAAGCATGAGCTACCGCATTTCCTGCAACTTCCTCCATTTTATTTGCTTTTGAGTCCCAGCCATCTAGTTTAGCCCCCCTACACACTGCTACGTGAGGTGCGGGGGATACTCTCGGCGGTGGCGGTGTAGTCGCCGGAAAGAGGTCCGCAATTTACATATGACTGAGGTCCTGTTAGGGTATATTTCCCACCTTGATAATTTGGGACCGTTATTCGGAGGATACAATTTTTTTTTAAGCCCTGTCATTTCCATAATGTCTCCCAGGAAGAATCTCAGTGCAGTGCATGAACGCCGTAGCACCGGCGAGGATCCTGAAACACTTTGGGCACATTTTTAACTCAAAATTTTGCATGGACAGGGCTGTTAGGCTACTCTTTTTCAGTTTCCAACTGCCAAGGTATTTTTTTTAAAGTGCGAAACAATACACAGGCATCCGGTTTTACTACCCAGAGAACAGGAAAATATTAGAAGTCCACATGAAAAAATCCCAACCTTCACTGGGATTTGAACCTGGGACCTCCAGCACTCAAGACATACCTCGACACCACTCAGCCTCCTTACTTATCTGTACTCGCACAAACAGCATTTAACATTCATTGATCAAAAGAACCTATGATTATCATTATGACGTAAGAACATATAGGCGTACAATACATAATCCTGAAACCATGTGAATTTCAGTATGTCAAGTTGCTGTCATGGGAAGAGATGAAAATACAGTGCAGGGAAGATGTTTTTTATCGATCACCGGCTGTGAATTCCAGTGGAAGGTCACAGTTAATCGTCCGCTTGGACTTTAGGCTTTTACCTGGACCTGATTTTTGCGTGTACAACCGTTTTTCATTTCCCTGCCTCATGGGCAGCTGTACTCCAACTTCGAAGGAAGTCAAGACAATTGAAAATTGACTTAGTTGCGGTGGATGACCAAGGTGTCTTACGTGGCCTGCCTTGCTCGAAGCTCTCTACAGAACCTGCTTGTAATCGCTTTCTTGTCTGTTGAACCATAAAAGTTTTCATCAGCACAATTCGCTGAGTCCGGTCTTTGCATGTAGGGTAGGCACATGACCTACTTTACTGTGCTGACGCCATCAGCTTGACAGGACGTCACCACCCCGGGCTGACGATATTTTCCGCTTTCATTCTGACAGTCAAGTTTTTACGGCGCATTTATGGCCATCCCCTGAGTACTCCCCACAAAAATTCTAGGAATTAGCTTAAGAATATTACGTGTATGTAGGTTTATATACACACATACACACTAGAGAAAATATTTTAATATTAATTAATTAGTTTGGCTCATACAGTTGATTGGTATTTTCTTTTCTGTAGCAGGCACGTGGTGAGATACAGCACCACTGTGCAATCTCTTATTTGTCTTTTCTTTACTCAGTTATAATACTGGTTCCTTGCCTCTCAGGCAGATGGACTCCGACTTTGAAAGAAGCATCCATTTATTTGACTCTTGCGACACGCTTGTTGGGGAGGCAGTGGGTCTATTCTTGTTTTCCCCACAATGGGATGCTAGAACCCACACGGGGATTAATTCTTATTGAAATATAATTATGTGTCTTTAGGCCAATTTCTTCTTTTGCAATAATCAATGTTTATCAGGGTTCAGTTCTAGCAATGGGCTGTTTAGAAAAGAAACAAAAATGG